GCTTCATTCACTTCTTCTGCTGCCATTGCTAAAGCTACAGGCAGACTATTTCCACAATTACGTCATAGATCACAACTTCTTCTGTTCGCTGATTGGCTAGGATGAAATTCTACCAGAGACAATCCGAGAAAATGGGAGAAATCCCAGACTTCCTATGATGCAACATTTTAATTAAGCGTGATAGCGCAGGACGTTAATGGGAAGTTTTGTGTGAACAGAAAAATTAAGTCTGAATATTTAATAAAAAGTCTTTTTTTTTTAACTCAACACCTCTAAGTTTGAACAATGTCAGTATTTAATATTTATCTCCTGTCCACCACTGACCTCCTCTGTGCAGCTTGACCTGCGGCTGCAGCAGCTCCAGCTGCCTCCTCTGGCGGTCGATCTCCCGTCTGAAGCCCGACGCCTCCTCCTCGTACCCGGCTACGGTCCGCTCCACCGCCGCTAGGATCTCCTGGGCGGCGGCGCTCAGCTTCTCGGTGATGATTCCTCTCAGGAAGTCGCTTTTAGACATGCTGAGTGGATCGGAACCGCTGCTGCTGCAGTAAAACATCCCGGGTTCTCCCTGTTTGGATCCAAATCTTCCCCACGTTGCTCCCTATACGCCTACTTCCTGTTGTCCCTGGAAACGGAAGACTCTCCGTCTTCTTCTTCGGAATTTAATTGGAGCGGATCTCTGTAGCGCCTCCTGCTGGCCCCATCCCTCACCTCACCATACATAAAAAACGCGTTTTTTTCTTTTATTTAGGGGTATTTATACATAAAAAACAGAACAACAGAACTTAATGTCACCAATAATTCTGAATTATTCCATAAACAGTTCTGGGCTCATCGGGGGAATAAGAATAAGAAACATTGTTACCTCAATGCAAAGGTTTAAATTCTTGAGCTTAAAATAAAATAACTTGTTTATTCTTAGTGTATGTAGAACTTTCTCTAACTCTGTTAGTTCTGATTTCTTTTTTTTCTGGACATAATTGTCACTTTTTTCATCGATGCTTTTAGTCCATTATTTACTGTGGTTCTTTTTTTATCTTTTACTTTGAGACAGTTATGATGTGTAACCATGGCAACAAAGAATTAAAGTTTAAGAAGAAAAATAATCTGAAACTGAAAACACAAACTTGAATCTGAAAAATAATTTTGTACAGTTTTTCAGTCTAATATCTTTTTCAGTTGCAAAACTTTTTTCAATTTCAAACAGGTTTTGTTTACTTAAATCTTTGCAAACCAATTTCCTCAAAAGAATCAATTATTGCAGCACATGAAAAGTGAAGTTATGTTGTACAGTTTAAATATTGCAAACCTAAAATAACTTGATCGATTTTGTTTAGTTGTACATAAACTAAACAGAAAAGACATCATGACATTATAAGTTACATGTGGAGCCGTTTGGTCCAGACTTTTCCATGGTAAACAATATTCCTTAATTAATCTGAAGTGTTATTCTCAGGAAACATGATGTCATCAGAGAATATTTTATTTTTCAACTCATTGTTCAAAACACTTTCTCTTGTGCATTCATGTCTGTTTCAGTCTGGACCTGAACAGTGAGCATTAACTCTTTACTGTCCCAGATCCTCTCTTCAGCATCGACTCGACTTCAACAGACGAACATTTTCTATTCAAAAGTTCACACCACTGTATAAGCTTAGCACAAACAACAAGATGATGAGAATTAAGTTATGTTCTTTAGAAATCTTAAACAGGATGTTTATTTTGCAGTGAAGGAGCCAGTTTCTCAGTGTTACAGGAAGAGGGCGGGTTCTGCTCCGAATCCGACACCGAAGCCACTGAGATGCTCAGATCTCTGAAGAACCATGAAGCAAACATCTGCCAGCCTCCTGCTCTGTAAGTACAGAGGGTTTTATGATGAGTTCATTTTAAGATTTATGTGGTAGAGCTGAGCTTTGAAACTATATTTATGTAAAGAAAATTAACTTTTAAACGTTAATTTTATTTTTTTTTCCTGTAGTTTTGACCCTGGAGATTTGCTGCACAACCAGCCGAGGTTTGATAACTTCCTGCTCTAAACATATTCTGGATTATTATTCAACAAGTTTTCTTTACTGGACTGGCCATCTTGTTTGACCTAATTATTAATGGCTGCTGGAGATGAACCCTGTAAAGACATGCAGGTTTAGACATGGATGCATTAAAGTTTCATTAAAAACATTTATTATTCTAATGTATTGTGTTAATTTATCCTGTGCACTTAAAAACGGCATCTAGAAATAATTCACTAAAGATATATAAAATGTTCTATTATATCTCTTTATGTTTAACCTTTAGAGCTTCATGTCACTTAGTGTTTGTTTAGTATAATCGACCTGCTTTTGTTGAAACTCGCTAAACCCACGTATAAAGGAAGAGGCGGACTCTGGTGGTTCCTCTAACTCTCCTCCAGTGAAACGGTTCAGTCAGTCAGAGACATGAAGGAAGCAGCTGCTCAGCGTCTGATCTGTAAGTACAGAAATAATGTCTGTGTGTAGATGAGGGAAAATAAGAAGAAAAGTTGGTCTGTAGATTCTGTGTCAAACTAAGAATATTAAAATCAGTTTAATTTATATTTCATATAATCATGATTCAATAAAAGTGTGATGATGTCATTACAAACTCGACTGACAACAGAAAAACCCTTAAACGAGTAGTCATGGAGAAAAAACAAATGAAGGACAGAAAATGAAATATTCAAGAAAAAAACATCTGTCAATTGAAATATTAGCACAAGAAAATTTAGAAATATTTTAAATGTCAATTTTATAAATGAATCACATTTATGTAGAGAATCTGATGTTGGTTAATACTTTATGCTGAAAGGTTTATTAAAATAAAAATTTTACTTAATTTCAGTTCTGATCTCACTGCTGTTCTGGACATCAGGTCAAGGTTGGTAATGTTTCATTTAAAATATTTAAAATGTCTGACAATTTTTCTGGATCAATTCTCAAAAGAAATGACGAACTGCTGGAATAACAGGTGTGTTCTTTATCTCTTCCATCCCAGTTCTCCCAGTTCGTCTGACTGTGAGTCCCAGCAGATCTCAGTTCTTTGAATATGAATCAGTGACTCTGATCTGTGAGGATGAAAACAGCTCTGATGGAGGAACTGTGAGGAGAAACACAACCAGAGGAACCAGGACTGAGTGTGAAGGATGGGGAGAAGCAGTTGGTTGGTTCTACCTGCAGCATCAGTGTGCTGCTTCCACATGACTCTGGCCTGTACTGGTGTGAGTCCATGTCTGGATCCTCCAGCAGCAGCAGCAGCAGCATCCAGCTCTCTGTCTCTGGTAAGATCAGACTGTGGAGTTAGTGTTGCTGTGTGGAAATGGATGAAATGCTGTAGTTTGTCTCTGTGTTGAGGTGGATCAGTGATCCTGCAGAGTCCTGTCCTCCCTGTGATGGAGGGAGATGACGTCACTCTGAGCTGCAGAGCAAAGAGTCCAGCCCACAACCTCCCAGCTGCTTTCTATAAAGATGGCTCCTTCATTGGTGATGGACCATCAGGTCACATGACCCTCCTCCATGTCTCCAGCTCTGATGAAGGCCTCTATAAGTGCAGCATCAGCGGTCAGGGAGAGTCTCCATCCAGCAGGATCTCTGTGGAAGGTCAGCAGCTTCTCTGTTTGCTTCAACCTTCATCAGGAGACAAGAAATAAATTTTTACCTTTGATTTATTAAGAGAGCCCATCCACCGTTCCTCCATGTGGATCCTCCTCTCTTCCTGCATCCCTCCATCCGTCCCTCCTCCTGGTCTCCAGTCTCTTCACCTCCTCCTGCGTCTCTCTGTCTTCAGTGTTTCTGTTTCTCTTCTTCTAGTTCAGCTTTAAATTCTACCATTGAAATATTGCATTTAAATCCAGTCTATTCTTGATTGAAAGTTGTTTTTGTTCTTTATCTGATGGATCAGATTATTTAGTGCTTCAGCAGCATTTTAGAGTCTCACAGCTTCAGACTGAATTTATTTTCCACCAGAATGTTCTGATGTAGAATCAGTCCAATATTAGCTGCACAAACAGAACCAGACCTGAAATTCAGCCAAAAACCAGTTTGATCTGATATTTTCTACTGATAAGCTTTAATTACACATTCTGCCTGTAGGTGGCGCTGTGAGCTGCTGTCATGTGTTCATCTCGTCATGTTTTAATTGTTTTTCCATATTCTGACTTTGTTACAGTGAAACTGATGATAATCTGATTGATGTTTTCCTGAATTCATCCAGTCTGTTTGTTTCTGTTTGACTCAAACTGCAGCTGACAGGAGTCAGCATGATGACAGGAAATGTTCAGATTCTGCTGGATTTGTTCACCTTCAGAACCACAAACTGGGCCAAACTTTAGGACAGGTGTAGATGGGCACTAGCCCAGGGCCCAGTCATTGGGGGCAGCAGCAGATATTTATTTTTAAACTAACTTATATTTTGATGTTAAATGATCCGGGTTTGGGACCAGAACCACCATAAAGTCATTAAAATATCCGAATACTTGAGCTCCCTTTCACTAAAAACTCTTATATCTCATTTTAACTTTTCAAACATTTTTTTACATGCATTAATGCGAAACTGTCCTGGTTCTACTGTCCTCCTTATTGCCGCTCCGTCAGGGTTCAGCCAATCAGTGGCAAGGAAAGTCAACTTTACTCCTAGATTGGCTGGTTTGCTAATCCCAGCTAACAGCTAATCCCAGCTAACAGCTAAAACCAGCTAACAGCTAATCCCAGCTAACAGCTTGTAGGAGCTAAATCAGAACTGTAAGGCAGCGAAAATGGGATTATCAATCTCAGCTGAACACCAGTATTTCTATCTAATATTGCATGTATAGAAGAAAGATTTATCTTTAACGAGAACAAATTAAAACTTTTAAATATGTGTTCAAATGGAGTTCTGAACGCTAGCAGAACCAGAACTGAACCACTAACTGGACTAAATCTGGTTCTGCCAGCGTTCAGCTGGAAGACTCATTCACAGCAGATGGATCGATGAAAACAGGCTCAGATAACTTGACTGTAATATGAGAAAGTATTTTATTTCACTGTTACCACATTTTACAACATGCAGAAACTCATCTGTTAGAAAGTCAACAGAATGAGACGCCCCTGTGACGCTGCATTGATTTTATTCTGTTGTGAACAAATCCTTTTTGATTTGAGAAATAGGTTTTCATTCCTGTGAATAAATGAGAAATGTTCCAGCTTTGCACACCGACGGTGATTTAATTTAAAACAGGGACTGTAAAGCAGCTAATTTGGGATTAGCAGCCTGGTTTTTGGACCTGAGCTCATCAGGCACTCGGTTCAGGTCCAGGATTTTTATTACTGCATGTATGTGAGGAAGATTTATCATTAGCAAGAACAAATTAAACCTTTGAAACATCTGTTTCCTGTTTCCCTGGAGTGCTGTGTTAGAACCAGAACTGACTCAAGTCCATCATCAGAGAAATGACCCTCAGTGACCAGAGCTGCTTCAGTGCTGTGATGAAACTTAACAGGTTTAGATAAGTGTCAGAAACTTCTATTGTTTATTCTTTCTTCTATTGTTTATTGTTTCTTCTATTGTTCTATTGTTTATTGTTTCTTCTATTGTGTATTGTTTCTTCTACTGTATGAGTCGAGTTTTCCTCCTGTTGGTCTCAATTATTGACTGAGACACCATTTTCTGTCTTGTGATGTTTTAGCATAAATAACCTCTAATAAAAACTGATATATTTTTGCAGTATCCACCTACTCAGACGGTTCCGTCTCTGTGATTTGAACTCGCTGGAGTTTTCCTGTCTGTCTGGGTAATGACAGGAAGTCTCCTGTTCAGGGCAGCTCCAACATGTTGTACTTCGCCAGGAGGCGTTGAGTCCGTGTGTGGACCACCGAGAGCGCGTGGATGATGATGCGCAGCACGGGTGTTGCCTCTTCCTGTTTCTGCACACACACCAGCTGCAGGAAGTACTCTCTGTCAGGAAGAGCGAGGAAGACTATCTCTGCGGCCTGGCGGAGCATCCAGGGATGGTGGGGGGCCAACGCCACCTTGTAGGCGTCTCTGGGCGAAGGAAACAAGTGAATATGAGACAATTACATAGTTCCTACAATCCTGAACAGGAAGTGATCTGCGCCATCTTAGTGGGCAAGTGCATGCGCAATGCATAGCGGACCCATGGCGTCGAGACCAACAGAAAGATATGTGGAAACTCTTAACCAAGAGAAAGACACATAAACAAAATGGCTGCTGTTGGGATCGACCCATATGAGACGGAGAATGGAAAACATGTTGAGAAGCCGCCTCCGAACTCAAACTAAGATACTAGTGAACAGGAAGAGTGCGAACCCCACAGAGGAGCTTCACCTGAAAATCTATGGCTACAAACAATCAGTTCAAACACCTTTGTGACGGATGTACAAACTCTTCAGGTGAGTAACAAGGTTCTGTGACTGGCAGAGTCAGTACATGTAGTAACAAACAAGTAGGCTACATGTCCGTCTTAGCTAGCAAAGCTACGTTAGCTAAGCTAACTTTGCTACTTGGCCTGTAAATACTACAGTAAATATCACAGAGGTGGGTACAGTACTCATACATCATGTATGTTGTTTAAAAGTTAGATGGGAACGAGACGAGAGCTAATTCTAAGCTTGTGGCTAGTTTATTGTCGTCATAGCAACTGCCTATGTGATGTCAAAAGTTCACGGAAGTGTGACGTCACATGAGAACAACGTATAGAGCTTCGGAGCGTGACGTCACTGATCTAGTCGGAGGGGTATCAGCGCCATCTTTGGTGTCCATAAGCATAACCGACAAAAACAACAGTCTCGCAGAAATGACCATTTAAGTATTCAGAAGATGATCCCGTTACCTGCTGAGCTCTCCGGGCGTTTTGAATCGTCCCTCCGCGTCTGGACCCTCAGACAAACCCTCCAGCATCAGCTTCAGCCAGAGCAGCGAGCGATGCAGCCGCAGCAGCGTCCGGCAGCCTGAGTCCGTCCGGCGGGAGAAGCTGACCATTCCGGCCTGCAGCTCCGCCTCCACCATGGATCGAACAGATCGATACGCCTGTGCAGGAAGTGATGTCAGTAAACGTGTCTGGGAAGGAAGTTCTGACATGTTGAAGACGGGAACGGCAGGCCTCACCCCGGTTCTTAATCCAGAGGAACCGGCTGCCTGAGACTCTGAGCTGCGTTTCAGGGAGAGCTGTCGGATCAGTTCGGTCTTTTCTCTCACTTTCTGAGAAAAGAAACTCACCATCGTTCCTAGAGACTCCATGAAGCTGAGAATGAAAAAAAGAGGCTTTTGTTTAACTGAAGTTCATTGGTGGACACTGCTAGCTAAATGCTAATTGTGCTAATCATACACTATAGCTAATGCTAAAGAGCTAGAATAACATGGTACTTAATGGGAGCTAAATTCAACCGTGTCAATGACACAACATAACAACGCCCCCTACAGGTTCACTTCTGAAATTACACACCTTCCCGTCCGCTTTACGCTTCAGGAAGTGATTCTTTGGAAAAAACCTTTTATTTATGGTTTCAGTTTTATAGTTTCAGTTTTTACAAGTTTAAAACAAACAACAAAAATCTGCATCTTGAAGTTCTGAGAAAGTACCAGGCACGTTCCAGAAAGTACACAGACAGAAAGGTACTATAGGATTCTAGAAAGCTCAAGAAGTTTTTTCAGAAGTTGTCATTGTATAAATTTGTCTGTGGTTTTGGTCTTCAGACCTTAAACACATAAAGCTTGTTTACTTGAGCAGCTGGTCCCAGCTGAGCAGGTACGGCTCCAGCAGGACGTCCTCGCCGTCCTCAGCCAGGCTGGACCGGAGAAACTGCAGCAGCTTCCGGGCCTGAAACGTCTGTCCAGGACATTCTTTGACAAGGGGCGGGGCTTCGTCTGACTCCGCCCTCTCATCCAGGATGGGCGGGGCTAGAGGCTACAAAAAAGTTAGCTAACAGTTACTCTAAAACGTTTATCATGTTCTTTACATTTGTTTTTGGTGTAGTTCATTGTATTTCATTCCCCATCACCATGTGTGAATATGTTAGTCGTACCGTCTGGATGTAATACGTCAAACATGGCTGCCACACTGAGCCGCAGTCTCTCTGTTCACCCTGAGCTGAACAAGCAGAAAGAAATATAATCACTGGTTACCAGAAATAACAGATAATCAATTAATTTAGTTGAAAGTTTATTAAAAAAAAAGCACATTTTTGCATCTTAATCTTTGTTCTGATGTTCACAAAGAAAGAAAAACAGTCAGAAAAGCAATTACTGTGTTTCAATTAGAAGCTTTGTCGATGTTTTGCTAAAGTAATATTTCATATCCCAAATAAGGTGAAAATCATTAATCACAGTAGCAGGCGTAATGTAAGCTAATTTCAAATGATGCTAATGATAGCAGGTATGCTACACAGAAAGAGCAGCTCAGGAATGATGAAGCATCTGATGTTGACACGTTATGTGTGGTCCGAATGGAATTCTGCTTAGGGCCCCAAAAAGGCCTGGGCCGGCCCTGTAAGACCTCGGGGTTTTCTTTCTGCAGCAGAGTTCAGGTGATTACAACCCGGTGTGTCTCTTTAAATGCCGCTGGCAGTAGGCGGAGCCAACATGGCGTGACGAAGGAAACTTACGGAGCCAGAAGGAGGTGAGGAAGAGGAGGAGAGCGAGCCCGGTGGACAGCAGCAGGTAGCGAAGCAGCAGCGTCCGCCTGAGGAAAACCATCATCCACTCAACAAACCGCCGTCGCTGCTTCACATGCTTCCTGGACTCCAACACACACCTCTGAGTGACCTTTGAACTTGACCTTTGTCCTCTTCACCTGGTTTATCTCAAGCAAACACGCAGTCACGCTGTGGGGAATGTGGGAGATTCTCGTTCTGGACTTCAGAGCAGATTAAGGACTGAGACTCTTAATATCAGAAACAAACTGACTTGGAGCCGCAGGGATCTGGTTTTATTATCTTAATTCCAGGTTGTCAGATAAAATAAACACTTCTCATTTTGTTCTGTGCATAACTCTTTCCTCCTGATCACTCACTGCAACACTTTAAAAGTTTTTAACATTATTAACTCTATAACAGGCAGATTAATGAAGATTCAATGAGCGCAGAAACTTGTTTGCGTCTGAGACTCTGGCGCCCCCTTGTGGACAAACCTAATAAAACGCCTTGAACATAAGCAGCATGTCGTCAAAGCAACCGGAGCTGCTGATGGAAACGTTGTTACCTTAAACTCAAAGGAAAACAGAAAAATGAAAACAGAATCTCCTCTTGTTTCTGTGTACACATATACTGAAACACAGCTAACTGAAATATTAGCTGCACAAACCCTAATCATTCGCAGTACTTCACTAATGCTAACGGAGTATTTAGCAGAAGCAAATAATATATAATTCCAATATGAATGGTTTCTTTTTGCAAATAGCGCCCCCTTCCTGTTCAGATGTAGCAAGAGAAAGAGACGGAGAAAAAGTTGATGAGAAACAAATTTATTGATGGTAATATCTGACCTAAAATCATCTTCAATGTGTCAAACTAGTTTTTCCATCAACACTGATTGATTCATGCATCACCGTCTTTGGTGCGTAACGCGACACGCCTCACTTTTTGTGCAAAAGGTTTTTGTGCTTCTTTATTGAGGTAACATTTCAATTAACCTACAGGAAACAAGGATTTTCTATCACTAACGAGGATTTTATGGCTTTCAGGTTTACACAGGCCTTCAGCTTTATAAGGTAAAAGTATAAATATAAGGGATGCTAAAGGAGAAAGTTGTGCTTTCAGAGTTAATATATAAAAATAGAGTTAAAAACAAAAAGGGTTTGCATAAATCAGGTGCTGTTGAGCTAATTCAGTTCAGATGTGCTAAAAGGGCTTCAGTGTGGAAGAAAAGGGAAAATCCAGTGGATTGATAACTACCATAACTACGACGCTACGCTCCTCTGGGATTTTACCCATCATGCATCTGGAAGGAGGATGCTGGAAACTTTCCTCAGGATCAAAACCTCCTAAAACGAATCCTCTGAATTTCATCATCAAATGTTTGGAAAGTCATAAAAAGCAAATAAAAAGTTCATCCTGTTTAAAATAAAACCCTGGATTCAGAAAATGTTACTTTTAAAACGTCGACTGTTTTCGATTCTGTCCTGAAGTTTTAGTAAAAAACTATAATTGTGCAATTAAGTTACTTAAAGCTGGATGCAAGTTATTTGTACCACTGTGTCTGTGGTGTGGATCTTTTTATTTATATTATTTTATACTTTGGAAGCTAAAGAAGTTACATTTTCTTGCGATTTTCCATCAGTTTCTGTCATTAAACACGAATGAGCTGCCATGAAATTAACCTGTTGACGCTGTTCAAGTTTCCATCCAGCCTGATGAAAATATGTTCAGCAAACAAATATTGTTTTAGATGACATTATAAGTGAAAGAAATATAAATATATTCTTTTATCAAACACAGTAAGAAGTTGGTTTTTGATGAAATCTGGCTGTAAATGAGAAAAATTTGCCCTTTTCTGCATCGTCAGACGCAGACGTGGAGGTCAGGACTGCCGGGTCGGATCCTGGAAGTAGAAACGTGTGACGGCTGCTGAGGTCAGGAGAATCCTTCAGCTTTGACCTGAAGGGCGTCACAGAGGCCGGGTCGGGTCTGCAGAACCTGGGAAAACAACCAGAACCGGAGAGAGGCTCAGAAACAGACACTCACAGTTAACCTGTAGATCAGTGGCATCCAAAGGGCCGGAAACGTCCAAGTTAATGGACCTGGGCGACAAAAAATTAGTTTGTTTAGATAAAAGCATAATATAATTTTATCTGCTTGATTATTAACTAAATAAATGCAAAATAAATAAATGTACTGCAGAGGAATTTTCCTTTTGGTTCTATTAGTCCAGTTTGGCTGTCAGCCTCATGTTTGGGTTTAGAAATATCTTATTACACAAGTTCACACAGAAATGTCAACATTTCTATAGTAACATAAAGGTAGCACCACTAAGGACTCATTTATACAGTTTATCTGCAAAAGAAGCTGATTTGGGGTTTAGTTACTCAAATAGACAAAAACCTACAATGTTTGACATCATCACCGTCTTTTTTCTGTGAAAGCTAAATGTTTTCTAAGTTAGCTAAAGAGCTAAAGTGTTTATTAATACTTTTTAAGGACAAAACTTCAAACCTAATGTTTAACTTTATTAACTCAAAGTTTACAAAAAAAAGTAAATTACCACTTTAGAGGTTTTCAAAATTAGCCAAAGCGCTAATCTACAAGTTAGCGCCACTAAACATTTGCATTGCTGCAGCTTGATATGTTTTTCTGTGGAAGGAGCTTCAAACTAAAACATCTGCAGAAACCAAAACAATCAAACAGAAACCAATCGAACTGTGATATGTTGACTCATTTAACAGTATTATCTCTGACCTTCAGGGTGCTGAGAATCTCTCCAAACAGGTGCTTTGCTTCCTGAGTATCTGGCTCCTCAAAGTAGTCCGACACAGAGACGGCCACCACGATGGACCTGATGTTGCTGCACACACCTGCGCAGGTGGACAGAACATTAATCCCTCCGTAAACAGTGCTGGGTCTGAGCACAGGAAGCAGCAGAAACCGTATCTCACTGTGGAAGTGGAGGATGGCCTGGCCGCTGACCGGCGTGTGCGTCAGGATCAGCGTCTGCAGACTCTTCAGTCCGGCTCTGCAGAGCTCTGTCGCCACCTGAAGGCTCAGGTCGGTAATGCACTCCAACTCCAGCACCTGCAGGTGAGTGCAGCTGCGCACTGCATGAAAATATGAAAACGGCAAAAACAGTTTGTTTTGTTTTATACCAAAGCTCAGAATGTCATGTTAAAATATTTTTCTTTAAGTTAATTTTTTATTAGCGGTTTATTTTACAATAAACCGCTAATATCTATTAAGGAAACATGAAAATCGTCTTTTTATTTACCAACAGCCACCAATCCCTGAGTGTTACAGCCAGCTCCGCCCACACTGAGACAACGGAGGTGTGGCCAACATCGACCAATCGTCTGCAAGCACCGGTTTCCAAAACGAGTCGGCTGTTGGCTAAAACCAGAAAACACGAATATGAGATGAGATAAAAGTAAGCTAGCTTTTTAGTTAGCAGTGCTAAGTTAGCACTAATCAGTTCCACTATCGCTAAGCGCTATTTCAGCAGGATATTTAGCAGAAGCTATCGCTAAAGCGCTATACCAACATAGTAATTAATAAAAGCTACGCTAAAGCATCACATTAGCATAGTAATTAGTGGAAGCTTTGAAAGCTAACCCAAACTTCAACACAAATGTTGAACTTTATTGACAGATTTCACTAAATAGTCATGTTAATTAGCGCTCTAAAATATATCTGAAAAAATTTAACATAGAAGAAGCTAAATGTGTTAAACGTTTTCAACGTTAGCAAAAGTGCTGACCTAAAACTTAGCTCCTCTGTTAGCGCACTAGCAGCTGTGTAACCCACCACAGTTAATTACTTTTATTGAAAAGGCTAAGCAAAAATAAAAATGTTTTTACATTTAAGATTTACTTTCTACTCCCTGTGAAGTAGCTGAGAGCTGACTGACTCACCTGGGGTGTGACGGCGCGACCTGCAGGCTGCTGATGTTCCTGCAGCCGGCACCCAGAGCCCACAGGACCTCCTGACCGACCGGGTCTGAGGAGCTCCTGCAGGGAGAGACACTCAGGTGAACACTCAGACAGCCAGGTGAGCCATGGAGCAGGAGGAGCCTCCTCAGTCCCACCTGTACGTGAGCGTCTGCAGGTTCCTGCAGTAGCAGCTGGCCATCCACAGCGTCCTGTCGGTGAGGATGTGGGGACACTGGGAGACGGAGAGGAGGAGCAGACTGCCCCCTGCTGACCGCAGCAGCGCCTCCACGCCCGGCTCCATGCTGCCCCTGAGACACACACCGCTCCAGGTCAGCACACCTGCAGACCTTTAAATGGTCTGAGCTCAGAAAACAGACGGACTAAAACCGTTTCCACGGCAACGTGCACATCCTTCAGTTCACTAAGAGATAAGAATGTTTAAACTTTCTCTGAGTGTTAATCCCTCTGAGCTGCCGCTGCGTGTGTGTGTGTGTGTGTGTGTGTGTGTGTGTGTGTGTGTGTGTGCGCGATACCGAGTGTTTTTGTGGTAATCCTCTCGCGTCTCGTTGGGCCGGCGGCTTCGTGGCTTCAGGTTGTTGAGGATGACAGACTGAGTTTGAGTACACCACTGAGAAAGAGTCTGCAAGAACTAAACACACAAAACTAATGTTTAATCCAGACAGCAAAGGAAAAATATATATTTAAAAGCACAAAAGGTGCTTCAGACTCTGAAATTCAGTCACCATCTGAATTTTAAACATCATCTGGGAGTGAAAAGACCCTGAATGCAGTTAGCTAAATAATTAGCTAAAGCTAGCTAAATAATTAGCTAAAGCTATCTAAATAATTAGCTAAAACTAGCTAAATAATTAGCTAAAACTAGCTAAATAATTAGCTAAAGTTAGCTAAATAATTAGCTAAAGTTAGCTAAATAATTAACTAACTGCAAACTAGCCAGTTCTTTGCAACACACTGATATTGCTTTGATAAATTATCAGAATATTCTCTAGTAACAGGTCTGAATTAATAATTTAAAAAGGTGTAGAGGACACAGTGAAGCCGCTGTACCTCGGCCGACACTCGAGCGTTCTCCAGTCGGAGGCGAGTCCAGACCGCTGGGTGCCTAGCAACAAACCGCCAATCACAGCACACCTCGGCCGCCAGCAGCAGCGAGCGAACATCCAGATACGGGAAGACGCAGAAGAGCCCCGCCCTCATCTTCAGGGTGTCTGCGCCTGGCGTCCTGTCGGCATGACAACGGGAGGGGGTGGAGCCAATGGAGGAGGGCGTGTCTGGGTGACGAATGCAACAGGAAGAGGAAGAAGAGCAGATAAGAGGAGACAACATCTGGAACAGCCAGTAGGGGGAGGAGGAGGGTCTTTACCTGATCCAGGTGTGTACTTCCTGGCCAGAATGAGGCGCCTCATCTCAGCGCTGCTCCACAGGCCTTCCTCCTCTTCTTCTTCCTCCTCCTCCTCTTCCTCAGTGCTGTGGTGACGAAGGTTTCTTTTGCTCCAGGTTCTTCCCCATCCTTCCTCTCCGACCCTGAAAACACAAAAGGAGAAAAACATTCTGATTCTCTGA